CCAACTGCGACTTTTCAATGGATAACAGCACCACGAGCAGCAACGTTATCGAAGAGGACCGCCTCGTCATGGCCACAAAAAGGATCTTTGGTCTCGACTCTGGCTGCGGTATTGTGAGGGTGTTCCATGGCTCCGGCTGTGAGGCCACGAGGTCGATTGGTGGTCCTGTTCATGGGGCTTTGCAATGAAGCGGTGCTCAAGGCCAAGAGGCCGTGAAATGGGGTAGTGTTCTCGGTAGCGGAGTGTGGTGGTTGGATTGATGCCCTACCACCATGGTGGCTAGGACTACTAGTGGCGGCTTAGGTTGTCACTGTGGCGTTACTCCTTGTGCGTACACTTTCGGCCATGGTTCTTCGGAAAGCTTCAGATGAATGATGAACAGAAGGAAACAGATTTCCTTATATTAGGATTCGAGAGCAACACCTTGAGTATATCTCAAATCTCTTAATGAAAGCACCAATTTGTTTGTGCAATTAAATTTTAGGGAGAATATTTGTGAAGATCCTCTTTTATCTCAATTCTCTTCTTCCTCGAACCCTACAAAATAAATGCGGTCAACGGAGAACACCCGAGGGGATGTTGGCCAAAAGCCCTCCGATGCCTAAGTCAGTGAAATGGTCTCAAGGAGATACAAGTTTAACTGAAAGGATGGAGCTTTCGTCTACGTGAGAGGAGGAGGTATGTGCATCGAAAATGAGGGTGAGGGCACGTGGTTGTGAGAGAGGGAGAGAGAGTGTGGCGTGAGAGAGGAGTTTTGCTAGGGTTTCATAATTTCCTCATGTGTGGTGAGATGCCATCTTTATATAGAGCCTCCATCTTTGATAAGGTTTGTGGAGAATAATTCCCTATTAATGGGAATTATTCTTTTCCATGAATAGGATGACATGATAATATCAAGGAGATTTGGTGGAAATCGGATACTTGATTTAGAGAGATATTTCTATCTTAAATAAGAATAATTGACTAGCTAAATATGATTTAATTAGCACAATTATTTGACATATGGAATATTGCTTTTTCCACGTGTCACATTTTGATTGGTTGCCAAAATTCATGTTCCCACAAAATTAACACACTACTAGAAAATGGGATTAAAGACACATATCACAAAGCCAAGACAAAAAAAAAATGGTGGCTTTTATACTCTAATAATTGCCACAAATACTATAAAAACGGAGGGTAATTTCCCAACTCAATCCCAACCCCCAACCCCCAGAAAAACCTTCAACATTGCTGAAAAGGTTCAGAGCTGTATTTGGAGCCTTATTTATTTGGCTTGTGGACTTGACTTCACCAGGTTTTCATTCTCTTCCCTCTCCATCTCTGATTTTATAAGTTTATTGTTCTTGGTGTACTTAAACCTCTGTGCTACATTCTTTTGTTGATTTGTGAGGAATTTAATCTTTTGGGTCATTATATAATGAGTTTTTTTGTGTGTGTTTCTAGGAGGTGGAGATTCGTGATTCTAGCTGGTGGTGTGGAAATGCTCATATTCAAGTAATTTTTAAACTCTAAATCTCTAATTGATGATAATGCCTAATATTTTTATTGGATAATGATATATTGGATTGGATGATTATATATGATTATTTGATTTGTTGGAATTTAGGGTCTATGATTAATTTTGTGATGGACTTTTTGTCATCTCTCTTTTTGTTCATTTGTCTTAATAAAATTTGTTTATTTTAAAAAATTAATTGACTGTTTGGTTTGATTTATTCATGTGTAGAATTATGGAACGATGAGGGAAAAGTAATAGAAAATTATCTTTTAGTGTTATTTTCAACTTAAAAAAAATATCCAAACTTTTACACTAAGACCCCTTGGGGTAACAATCCTGAATCCCCCATTGGCAGCCAGTGACCGTCTTCCCCACCTGCAACCCACCCTAGACCCAATACTCATCCACAACCTAGCTCCCTCCCATTTCGCAACCCACCCACCTCCCTCCTCCCCCCTTCCGCCCTCGCCCCCCCCCCCCTCTCCTT